AGCTGCACAGTCTGCTGCCACAGGTCCCTTCAGTGCACTTAATATGGCAGATATCAGCAAAACCGAGAAGGTTCAGCTGCATGTGCCAGATTTAGAGGATCTTCGTGGCGGTAAGAGTTTTGAACTTTAATTCATGAAACAAATAAAGACGTTAATAGAGACTCGGAGAGTAAAGTCGTCGTTGTTTGTTGCAGTGTTGCAAGCAGGGCTGGAAGAGAACTTTGCTGAAGTGCAGGTGAGTGTTGTGGAGTGTCCTGATCTCACCAAAGAGCCCTTCCATTTTCCTGTTAAAGGTAAGAAACCTGTCAAGTAGACTACACCTCATGCAAAGAGTAGTTGAAAAAGATGCTGACACTCTCAAAAGGGGCAAAGGGTCAACTCTTAGATTGTGTAATATTACAAAAACACCTTAAATTTTAAATGCATGGTTTTCCATTTAACAAGCTCCTACAATCTCTTGCATGTATATATATTTTTTTTTAATCCTTTTTCACATTTTTTATTGTTTTTTTTTTACACTGTTATTGAGAGAGATGCTTCTCACACATAAATATACACATGCACAAACAAGAAACAAGGTAGACCTATGGACGTTCACCAATGGAGAGATGTCAGACTGGGGCTGCTACACGCTGCTAAGCAGGGCGTGCAACCAAAGCTGTTGAGGGTTTCAGAGCTTGCTCAATAGTGAGTGGTAAATGGACTTGAGCTTATATAGCACTTTTCTAGTCTTCTGACTACTCAAAGCCAAATACACCGCATGTTACACCTACCCATTCACACACTGACGGTAGTGGTTGCTATTAAAGTGACCATAAGAAGTTACCAACCCCGCACTCACACGCCCTGACAAAGCAGCGGGAGATGCATGTCGCTGCAGGAGCTGGGGATCGAACCCCCAAACTTCCGGTTGAGAGATGACCGACTCTACCAACTGATCCACAGCCGCCCCTAGAGCACCTCGACGGTGCTCAAGAAGTGACCTGGTGCCTCTCCAGCTACGGTCAGCACCTGGACTTTAGCCGGCGAGCCACCAGTTCCCAACCCGAGTCCCTACAGACTGAGCTAATGCCCCATTTATTAAAACGGGGAAAACCTAAAATCAGCTCTTTTTAAAGGCCAATTGGTTTGCCATTATCACAAATGACGATGAAAACAGCAAACATGATATATCATGTTTGCTATTGAGAAGGTGATTGAATCAGTTTATGTGCAGGCCTTGCTGAACCATGAGTACCGATGGGATTCAACTTGAAGTTGATTTGTTGTTGAAATTACTTTGTTGATTAGAGAGTAAAGCATATATTTAGCAAACAACATATACGTTTGTATGTGTGGAACCTTGTGTTGAAGGTCTTAAAGTCACCTCCATCCTCACTCTGCAGGCTTGTGTGGAAATCCTCGAATCACTGATGTTGGGGGTGTGCCGTACCTGGTGCCTCTGGTCCAGAAGGATAAGGTACGTATTTTGAGTGGAGATAAAGAGCACTGACCTGTAGTTGTCTCGCTTTTTCATGTAATTATTGTCACCTCATCCTGCTAGGAATACAACATGAACACCATATCAAAGGAGCTGGAGCTGCCGGGAGCCTTCATGCTGGGTGCTGCAGGCGCTGCTTCTAGGGTTGTTGGAATGAATGCAGAGGTGAATCTTTTTTTTTTTTTTTTTTAACTCTCATCACACCACAGATCCTGATTTAAAAAATGTAGGCAACTTTACAGCTGCTCATCTCTCATTTTCTGAAGATGAGTCATCTTTAAAGTCAGACGGTTTAAGTTTCATTCACATCTTTTGCTGTATTTCTGAAAGCAGTGTAAATATTTGAGTAAAGTAGACAATCTTTGGGTGAGATTGCATCCTGGAGTTTGGACTGACTCTAACTGAAAGCACATCAGCAAGCAAAGGCAGGAGAGAATAACTGTGACGCAAATCCTCCCGGTTAGCGAAATGCTAAAATCTCTGATTCTCCCAGAAGATAAAAAAAAAAGTGAACCAAAGAATTTCCCCACGTGAAAGCGTCAGCTGAATTTTCTAATTTAGAATCATTATTTTTGTCCGTAGCTGATGCCTTTGTGTCTAACCGAAGCTGAGGGAAGGCCTGCGGTGAACAGCAGCTATTTCTCCTCCATCAATCCAGCCGATGGAAAGTGTCTGCAGGAAAAATACAGCGACAAGTTCTCCGACTGCAACTTTGGACTGCTGGGAAATCTGTACGCTTGTGAGGGGAAGCCTGGGAAGGTAAGTCAGCCTCACCTGATCAAAGAAAAACTTGATGTGGCCCTCTCAGAATTGCATTGTCATCAGCAAATATTGAACACCTCTGGTTATGTATGAATGAACCTAAACACTTTGAGTTAATAACCTTACTTTAGCTTTTTTTTTTTTATGGACTTCAGCCCTGCCACATGTGATCTCTAAACATTTGAAGGATACACATTAACACAAAGAGAAGCTGAGCTGTCATGTCCTCCCTACCCGTGTGTCTCTTCAGGTCTCGAGGTTCGAGCCAAAAAGAGGACAGGAGGTCACAGTCTGGTGACGTCCTTGAGGAAGACTCTAGAAGGTCAGTACCCGGAGAAAAGCCTGGCTCTGGGAGGAACCTTCATCATCCAAAAGGGGAAAGCTAAGATCCACATAATGGTAAATATCAGCTGTGACACAGAATAAGTCGTTGATACTGACAGTTACATACTTTGATTGAACTCAAGCTGTACAATTGATCTATTTCTTGATGTTCTTAAATTAAATGAGTTTCCAATCATTTTGAATGCATTCTTTTTACATCTTTTTATTTTCTAACTTTTTATTATTTATTGGGTTTTACTTTTTATAATTCTACCAACATGATAAACATACTGTACATGTTTTAGACGATACAGAAGGTAATGAAAGTTGAGAAAGAGCTATGAAACAATCAAAGCAGAAAACAAACTAACAAAGAAAGCTTTCACTTTTTTAAAAATTTTGTATTGCACTGTTGCAATGTTTAAATATTCATTGTTTCTTTTCTCATGTGCATTTTCATCTCCTTATTCGAAGCACTTTTGAGCTGAAAGTTGTTCACATATTATGTCGATAATAATTTCCTTGCCTCTGTTTTTGATAGCCAAGAGAGTTCTCCGTCTGCCCCCTCCACTCCAATGACGATGTGAACAACTGGCTGAAGCACTTTGAGGTCAGCGCCCCGCTCATCTGCCAGTCTGTGCTCGTGTCCAGAGATCCGGTAAGTTATAACACACACACACACACACCCCTAACCCAATGAGAACGATGAGATGAGGGTTTAAAATGGTTTGAGCACCCATCAGCAGGGGAGAAAAGAAGCTGCGTAGTAATGGTGCTGTTCATTTGTTTCCAGGGTTTGGATCTGCGTGTCGAGCACACACACTGCTTCAGCCACCACGGTGAAGGAGGTCACTACTACATCGACACCACCCCCGACAGTGTGGAGTACCTGGGCTACTTCCTGCCTGCAGAGTTTGTGTATCGTATCGACAGGCCTAAAGACACCCACGCAGTCGGACGAGACTGAACACTTAATGAATGAATAAATCTTTTGTGACACAAAGTATCTCTTGATAAATCAAGTAGTATGTGATATATATTACTGTCTTATGTTTTATAAAATCACACATGAAGTTGACTTTTACTATGTAAATGATTGGGTTGCATCTTTTCTGTGAGTCTTTGCTCTGAAATAACCTCTCTAAGAATCCCTATGCATTTCTTATAAACTGAATCACTACATTTGGTTTAATAAAAGCCTTGTTGAGTTTCTCTTTTCTGTTTGTTTAATCCAGTGCAACACTAACTACCTAAAAAAGAAGGTAAATATGGGACAATGAACTTTGTGCAGTTTTTTCCACACACATACAGATAAAAGAAAAAAGCATGACAGACCAGAGCAGGGGAATAGTTTCAGTTTTCTCGATGCAGTTAGTGTGAAGGAAAACTAGAACGATATTTTTGAAAGCCCTTCACACCAGGGCTCAACCCACACGGGATTTCAATTATTTATAATGTTTAATAGAGCTTTCCAATCAGCACGCAGTGAAAAACCCCAGTGCAGTTACTGCAGTGGTTCACTGTATTTCACACAATTTTACATCACTCTGATTTGATAAGCATGACAAATCATTCCAGTGGTCTTGGAATAATCACAACAGACTCAAAATAACAAAATGAATTGAATTTTGATCAAAACTAAATATATTAGCCAGTTAAGAAGTTCTTGCACATTTATATTACTTGACCTTTGGATTGTACTTTCATTGTTTTCGTATATAACAATGAAAGTGCCGAAGGAGACATATTTGGGCGGGTGCAACTCAGTGGTAGAATCAGTTGTCTCTTAACCAGGGGGGTTGGGGGTTCAATCCCAATCTCCTGCAGTCACAGGAAGTCCTGTTCAGAAGACTAGAAAAAAGACTATATAAGTTCATTTACCATAAATACGTAGACTGTACATAACAGTAAAGGTCTATGCTAAATGTGATTAAACTAAAATTGGGATACTTACTTTTCATAGGTTTAAACGTTCTCAAATATTTGAGTTACTGTGTGTCGATTTACTGCAAGACGAGAATGTAGATTAAAAAAGGTCCGACTGTAATGAAGACGTTTTAATTGTATTGTAAAATAAATCAAACAAAGGGTTTATAAAACGTTTATTATATAGTCAAAAAATAAGAAGACAACATAAGTTTGCCCTGATGTTTCTCTTCATCAGACTTCAGTAGGACACAAACACTCATTCTTGTTTTAAGATTATTTAATTGCTGATTTTTTTTTTTTACCCATCTTAAATTGTTTTGTCTTCAAATTTACAGTTACTTATTGTTGAAATGTGCCTTAAAGCATCTTGAATGTTGCATTATAAATAAATAAATCAGTGATCACTGTATACGAGTCTTACTTCGTCCACCATGTAGAAACACCGCCCTCTGCCGGCTGTAGCAGGTAACACAACATTTCCCACAATGCTGCTGCCGCACCAGCCCGGAAGTAGGACGTTTATTGACAATATGGCCGCGGAACTGGGTTTGGATTTGTAGAAGAAGAAAAAAAAAAATGTAATTTGACAGCGCACACCGGGGCTGCGACGACAACAACCCGTTTCCACTTCAGGTGTGTGCGGAAACAGATGCATTTGAATGAAGGGAGCCGCGGAGCCACGGGACGGTGTCAGTGAGCTGAGGAAGCGTCCGGAGTGTGAAACCCGTCATGTCGTTTTTCAAGAGGAAAGGTGAGGAAAAGGAAAGCATCCCTGTAAAAGACAACGAGCAGCCTCGGAAGGGGGTTTTCCGGGCAGAGGAGAGACCGGACCTCCGATAAGATGAGGAGAAAGTGACCGCAGACCGAACTCCTCCTCTGTGGTCGTCTGTGAGAAACGAGAGAGCCGCTTCATGTTAACACGGTTAGCTTAGCTGTGGCCTCTCTTCTCCTCCCCTCTCTTATCTCACCCGGTGTCCGCCTGTGAGGCTGGCAGAAAGCTGTCAACTTGCACCGCGTTAGTATTTGAATGAAAAGATGCGTGTTAGCGATGAAAACATCCCTTTTTTGTTTTTTTAGCTGAGTTTTATCTGCGGAGCTCACAGTGTGAAGCTTCTGCTGTGACAGCTAGCTGTGTGAGCGTTTTACAGAAAGCCTTCAAAAGTCACAAATATGGAAAGGTAAGTAACAGACAGTTGAAGTTACTAGCTTCAATATAGGATGTAATGTGTTTACAAGTTGTTTCATGAACATAAGCTTTAGCCGCAGACGTGTTGTCAGCAGAGCTTCACACATTGTTACAGTGACTGAGCTGATTGACTTTAAGCATTGTTGATGTTAAAGCACTAAATGACCAGGCTTAAAAAAAAAAACCCTAAAGCTTAAGCTGACAAGCAAAAGAATGGTTTAGGATACGGAAATTGTTAATCAGCTTAATATTTGAATGTCCTTTTTAATCTATATGGAGCATCAAGTGGGTAGGTGGGGGCAGATACATACGGGTTCTGTTGTGCTGCCCCCACTGTAACAATCATTTTCTACTTTATGTAATAATAAAAACAATAACTTTATTATGCTTATATGATAAATCTAGCCCAAACTTTTATATATTTTTTTAATGCCCCCCCCTTCCCCATCCCTCACCATTCACATGACGTATTGCGATAACAGATTTTGTTTTTGCATTTTTAGAATTTATCCCAAGTGGCTTATTACAGAGGAAGCAATTATATATGTGACTGTGTCATGAGACTTCCAAATGTTTAGGATGTAATTACCTTCATTGCTTTAAAGATATGTTTTTTTTTAATTTGAGTGAGGATGAACAGCTTCCTTAGAATAACAACTAAGATAAATATGTGTGAGGGATAAATATTTATATCTATGTCTTTCTCTACAGATCCAACATAGATCTAAAGATATGGGCAGATATATCGGTACCCCCCCTAGTTCTAACTACTTCAGCAAATCTCATTTGGCCAAGGCAGGGAACAACACAATTAAAAACATAAAACAACAACACCAAAAAGACAAAGAGAAAATACTAAATCAAATATAAACTTACTTGTAAAACTTCTACAGCTTACTACTGAAAATACCTTAAACTGTGGTGAGTAAATAATCGACTACAATTCACAGAAACTTATATTGAGGTACTGTTTTAATCACAGCTGTAAAAAGTGACATTAGCTTCATGAAACACGGATTTATCGTATTCGATCACAGGTGTTTTTAACATATTAAAAATAAAGTGTGCTTACAAATGAAGCACCGCATTCTCATGCTCTACTGTTTCAAAGTTAGAGTACTAGACGTCTTTTCACAGAGTGTCCTTTGTAACAAGTGTTTTTCTTTGCTTTGATTAAAAAGTAGACAAATGTTATGGGGCACACTGAAGAGGACGTTACTGTGATGCAGAGTTTGCCTGATGTCTTGTTTGTGTGCATATTCTGGGAATCGGCACAGTTACTCCTACGCCATTAACTGGCCCAGGATCGAGATTAGCGGTTTCTCCTCAGTGTGGTCAAAACAGCTGACACAGCAGATCTTTTAAAATGAGGAAATATAAGAGAGAGTGCCGTTACAATGGTGAAAGGAAGCCAGGGTGTTCCTCGTGTTGTGGCTGTGTGCTTTTTTGTAGTTGTACAATGGTTGACTTTTCGAGGCCAAGTTTTAACTGTGGTCTAGCAATGATTGAATAATGTTAAACTATTGTGAGCTTTTATTAATCTTTTATTAACTTCTCTAGGATGTCGCTCTGGGCGTCATTCGTTTTTTTCTTTGTGATTTTCATTGAACATTTTTGTTCAGTTGTCCTTCAGTTAAATTGGTTTTGGCTCTTATCAGGCGTCTACACCACCAGGACAGAATCCTCATGGTGCACTGAGATAAAACACCATTTGAAAAATTGTATGAATCACATGTTGTAGGTTTAAAAAAAAAAAAAGATTTTTAAGTTGCTGTTTTGTCAGAAGGAAGTGGTTTCATATTCTCTGCCCATCAAGGTTTAATTGCCCAGTTAGGTTACTCCTCCAAAATACTGTTTACTTCTCTAAACAGAACATGTAACACAGCAGCTCCGTATGGTCTGATACACATAACATATAATTAAGATAATGGTGTTTAGTTCAACAGCAGATGTTTTTATTTGATAGATTTTGAAAGTGTGACAGAAAGCCTATTAGTGCCAGACAACGCTGACTCCTGACATGTTTGTTAATTAACAGCTTTGTCTCCCTCAGACTGAATCTCAGCCTCTCTGTCCACTTTCTTACAGCGGCGTCTTAAACGTGTTCTTAGCTTGATCACTTACTGCAGCAACAGCCTCGCCTGAAGACATGAATGTTGAGTCACTCTGCTGAGAGCTTGCTAACCATGTCTGCCTCTGAGCACTCATTCCACTGCAGGCTACGTATTCAATCTTTTCATTGACAGCTTCAGAGTGGCTATCAAAAGTCTTTCTTATAACTTCTGGCACCCACCCCACCAGAGCTTATAGACCACCAAGGTCACAAATCTAAGAAGGACTAGTCCAGCATGAAGGCTCCCTCAGTCCTGTTCACTATGTATGTACTATGCAATGAGCAGGACTGAGGAGGGCATTCATGTCAACACGGCGTCCGTTTTTATTTCCTCATCTGTGAGCGGCAGCAAAGAAAGCAGACGTGCTGGAAATGATTTGTTAACGTCGTAACTCAGGGTTGCGTTTTTAATAAATGTAAATAAAGTCACTACAGTATGTTGTTATGTAATTAGTTGGTTCCAGTCTTTCCGGTGACACAACGCCATGTCTTTACCTCACGCCTTCAGTAGCCATGAATGTATGAAGGTTTCTGGACTCGCCCTGCATTGTGAATCAAACTGCTGTATGCTCCTCTAGTTACCACTCTGCTCTCTTCTTCCCTCCTTGCAGCCAAAAGCAAAGAACCCGAGAGAGGGACCGATGCTAAAGTCAACAGAGGTGAGTTTGTCATGGACCCGCTGATGTTATGAAAGTGTCACACGCCACTTTTTTAAAATGTCATGAAAACAGAGAAGGCGTAGTAGTATCTTGTGACGCATTTGTTGATCCAAGGCAAGTAGAAAAAAACATAACATGATAGATGTCTTTGCGCCTGGGTGCTCTCAAAACTGATACTGACCTTTGCAAGGAAGTGATTGAAATTTTTGTTTTGTTAAATCACGCTGGTAATGTTGTCACAAGAACTGACATTTTGACCTCAGGCTAATTAGAGAAACACATACAGCTCAGAGTAAAACACAGAGCAGTCTGTCTGCTCATGTATCTCACATCCCCTGAGGCCTCTGTGCACAAACTGTGAGCTCTTTGAAAAACCTGCACTATAAAGACCTTTTCAAGCATGTCACTCTGATGTTATGCTCTCAGGCCGCTCAAATCCTTGATATCAGTTTTTTTTTTCTTCTTCTTCTTGCATAACACCCGTTTTCTGTCATCCCTTCACCGCCTGCAGCGCCGGCCAGTCCTAACTCTCCCTCACTCGGCCTGAGGAACCACCATGCAATTCAGGAAGCAGCCGGGCCCAGCCATGTGGCCATCAACGCCATCTCTGCCAACATGGACTCCTTCGCCCGCGGCCGCACCGCCATCCTCAAGAAGCAGCCGAGCCACATGGAGGCCGCACACTTTGGAGATCTCGGTAAGGAGCCTGCATTCATGTGTCCGTGTGTTGTTTTAAGTGAAAACAAACATTGAACCGCATAGTTTCAATGGACATCCCAAAACAGAACTAAACTATAACATGTCAGAAAAGTTAAAAGAATAAAGTTCAAGATTATTTTCTTTAAATTCCTGTTATTTGTCCTGGATTTAGTTATAGTGAAACCGTGTTTTTGTTCCAGCTTATAGAGCGAAGGAAACAAGAATTAGAGCAACAGAAACATTTGATCTGCTGATTATTTCCCCATTTAGTCCACAACATTTCATGAAAACTTAAAAAATGCTCTTTGAAACTAGAAAAAGCTTTAAGTTAAAGCCTCTGTATTCCTTTTTTATGTAATTGGCACACAGAAACAGATATACTGTACGTGCATCCTATTCTAATCATGATTCATTAAAAGCAGCAAATCTGTCATTTATCAAGCTGAAGCCAGAAAATATTTTCAGTTGTATTCTTGAAAAGTGTCTGAAGCAATAAAACGTCTATTCAAATTCAACCTCCCCAAAAAAGTTTGGACATTGTGTAGAATGCAAATTTAAATTTAAAACCTAATGAAAATTTCCAAACGTTGAAACCTCATGTTTACTTGAAAATACAAAGGCAACATAGAAACAAATGATGACACAGAAATTTGTTGTTTTTTTAGAAAGTTTAAATTTGATGCCAACAACATGTTTAAATGTTTGGGACAGTGGAAACAAAAGACTGGAAAAGTTATGAAATCCTTTAAAAAAACAAACTGATGGAACATCTCACAGTTAATAAAGTTAACCTGCAACAGGTTAGTAACATGACCGGGTATAAAAAGAGCATCCCAGAGAGGCTGAGGCCATCTGAAGGCAAGATGAGGAGGGTTCATCAATCCAACTTCATAGCCAAAATAGTTCTTTAACATAACATTTTAAAAATTCAGATTCAGAGAATCTAAAGAAATCTTTGTACGCAAGGGAGAAGGCAGAAACTTAATATTGGATGTGATGTTCTAAGGAGACATATCAAGGCAGAATATTTCTATTGGAAAAAGGAATAATATGACTTTCAAGTATAAATATGTGACAGCATATTGGCACAGTCTCTCGAAGAAAAGCACAACACACAGACATAAAGGAAATGAGTAAGATATCATAACCATCATCATCATCAAGCCAATTCATACCAAAACTTATCTCAAGACACTTTACAAAAAGGATTATTTTTATATATATATTGTTCATAAAGACCCAGCTTTTTAATTCATTTTTAATTTTTAAAGGTATTTTTTGGCCATTTTTACCTTGATTGGATTGGACAGGGGAAGAGAGACAGAAAATGGACTATAGCCTCTGTACATGGGGTGTGCGACGTAACCGTTAGGCTATCTGACTCCTCAAAAAGAGATGAAGGCCCAACATTAATCCATCATGAGCACAGCACTTCTAAACATTGAATATAAATGTAAATATATCGATATAAACTTTCTCGTGCAAGGCGGAAACACACCTTGATTAATCCACTCACAGGATGTCATGCTTGTGTAGTTTTGACAAACATTCCTCAGCTCGTCTGCGTGACGCTGTCCTCGCAGTCCGTCCTCTCCTGCTGTCAATAAACACCTCGCCTCTTTCTTATTTATTTTTTTTATCAGAGGTGCTCTAAATTTAGATTCTGTTTACGTTCTATGCGTGCCATGTTATGAAGCAGTGATTTAAAAAAATAAATAAATCTGGCACATGATGATGATGGCAGTGACAGGAATTGTAAGAGCCAGTTTTCCCAGAGAATACCTGGTGTGAGTCACACGGAGGTGGAGGAACCTGTGCTGCAGCTCGGACAACAACATTTGAACGAGACTTGCCAGGCGGCGGCTGATCATGTCTGGGTCTGTGGTTTGCACGTAAAGAAGAGAAAGGAAAGAAGTGGGGGAGGTGGATTCAAAGAGACAAAAGTGCGTTAGTTTCAGTGACAGTTTGTTGGCGGCCGTGACAGTTCAAACCTGAGCCGATGACTAGGAGGAGTTAAATACTGATTTCATCCGGTCAGAGGCCTGCATGAGCTGACGGGCAGCAGAAACCATCATCCTGAATGTGTTTTAATGCGATACACTTTTTCTTTTAGTATAAAGGAGATGTAGCACATGTAAGGGGCACTCTAACAGACTTCACATGTGCACTCCTGAAAATATCTACATCATTTCAGGAGGACTGCTCTGGAGATTCTCCTGCTCACATATGCTCCTCACAGCGGGAGACTAACCCTGACAGACGGGAGGAGGGGTGGGGGGTCTAGTATTGGACCGGAGCAACAGAGTCCGCTATACGATGCTATAATGAGAATATTTGCCTTTTATATCGATGCTACTTTTTAGTTAAACAGAATGACAATGTCAAAAAAAAAAGAGCAGCAGTCACAGTATATAAACGTCACTCCCCCCTCCCATTGGCTCGAGCTAAATTTTATGGAGACTATCCTGCTGCTGCGTTCTCACATCAGCTCACTTGTTGGACTTGTTGTGGGAAAAATACTAGGAGGCTGGCAGGAGAAAGTCCGTGTGAAGTCAGAGTGAAGAATTCAGCTGTTTGTGTTCACACATACAGCTCCTCCTGTAAATATTTGCATTTGGAGTTTTTCAGGAGCCCTATTTGACTGACTCTGAAAAGATATGCTAATAAGATGGGCACTTGTTGGTAACCTGATACAGACAGGTGCTGCGATGGTTGCTTTGATTTGAACTAAGTTGACTTCCATTGTGTGATCTTGAAGAAAAAAAAAAAAAATCTTAAGGTTGATGAGCACTGCAGAGTCAGTGACAACTTTGAAAGCATTATTTTGTTTTCAAAGAGCAAACATAACAGCATGAAGCCTCAGCCCCCGCTTCAGTCTCTTTACAGCTGATGTGCTCTGATTCATTATCACAGCTCGTTCGCCTGTTTGTTTATTTGTTTTCTTGTAAGGAGAGAGTGTGTGTGTGTTTTAGTCCCCCAGGATGATGGATGTTCTTCAAACTGTTGTGTCATATGTGTCAATCCCTTCAGGTGTCAGATTTTGTTTTCAGCTTTCAGACGTGGCTGGAGTTCAGCTCTGGCTGTTTCTGCTGACTACTTCATGCAGACAGGAATGACACGATGGACAGAACTCACACAGCTGCTGTTGACGTGCGATTCTGATTTTTTTTTTTTTTTTTTTTTTTCTGGGTTTAGTCGGTTGTGAAATTACACAGTCGAAGGCCGCGGACAGAGAGCTGGAAATTCACAAGACTTCAAAACAGATTTCCGGGAGTTTAAATTCAGCTCACGGCGCAGCTCTCAGCCTGGACCAAATGATCTGTTCACATAGGAAAGCTGAACACAGAAAATCCACTTTTTATCTCTTACTTCATGTTGCAGCTGCCTTAAATATAATGTGCATTTCATCATCCTGCTTCACTGTAAATAATAAAATAGTACTACTCAGTCTGTTATTAAAGTCCCACTGTCTAATTCAGACTGAAGCAGGTACATGTTGTTGTTGCTATGCTAATATTTATTCTTACAGGAAGTCTATGAAAGCATCGCCTTGGTGTAATTGTACATCATCTCTACTAAAGACATCTGTTTCTAGAAATACAAGGATGAGAAGAGTAAACATTGTCTGTTGTGTTGAAGAGATTATTAAGACTTGACTCCACACAATAAGACGGCAGATGGCTTACGTTGATGAAAGTTTACACATCAGATGAATACTCATGAGGAGACATGATTCAACATCGCACTTCTGTACTCGTGTCGTGCTCAATCACATCTGCAGAACTTTTCGAAAGGCATCGCTTATATCCTAAAAGACATTATCATTATCAGGGTCACACTGACCCACCTAGACTAAACTGTGACGTCTATAACACTGGAGCAGACAATAAGTCTACCAAACATCCTTGCAGGTATCAGGTAAAACAGTTGACACTCTCTAAGCTGTACTTGGTGTTCTAATAACAGCTGAACTCTGTCAGGTCTGACTGACACTAGAGAACAGTGAATAAACCTAGTGACACCTGTACATTATAATCTAAATAACTACAGAAATTCCACCACATCTTTTTGTGGCACCTTTTTCTAAAGGCATCCAGATGGATGCTTCCTAAGATGAAATCACTTAATTATAGATTACATTATCATTTAATTTCTGCAAACCCAATTACCGGTACTGCAAATGCTCTTCTAACGTGTGCTGCAGACAGTGGAGGAACATACAAAAAAAAAACATTAACAATTATTAACAGGACAGACCAACACAACCAAACACAGGAGAAAATAAAACAGTGAGCTTGCTGTATTGACATTGACATATTTTCTTAGAAAGAAGGCTTGGGTGTGTGTGTGATTAGCTGTCCAGAATCAGAGTGTTTTGTGTGGATAGATAAGTCAGGAAGGAAAAAACAAGGAAGGCTACAAGGAAAAATAGGGGAAGGAAAAAAAACCTGTGAAGAGATGGGGAAGGAGGTTATTCTGTTAATGAATGAATTCATTAATTATGCTACGACTTGTATCGATTACGATAACATCAATGGTGGTTAAAATGATAAAACTGTAAAATGCTGATCGCGGTAATTAATGATAACGACAACCATACTGAGGATGTTTGTACAGTCAGGGGAAGTGATGCCCGGTCCACACACACTGTGAGAATATTGTGTTAAACTGAAGAGTCTGAGCACTATCTGCTAAACAAACGACCTCTTTTAAAATCACCCCAGACATGGTTTCTACATTATTTGTCTTTAGGATCCTGATTTTGGTGCAGCTGTGGCTCAGTTGATAGAGTTGGTCGTCTCTCACAGGAAGGTCGGAGGTTCGATCCCCAGCTCCTGCAGCTACATGTCCGATTTGTCCTTGGTCAAAACAATTAACCCCAAATTGCTCCCGCTGCTTCGTCAGAGGTTTATGATTGTGTATGAATGGGATTAGTTACTTCTGATGGTCACTTTACAAAGCAACTTCTGCCATCAGTGAGTGAATGTGTAAAAAGCTTAGAGTAGTCAGGAGACTAGAAAATTGCTATACAAGCTGAAGTCTGTTTACCATTTACCATTTTTTTTGTTGTTGTTGTCATTTCTAGGTCATTCCAGTGTGAACTATCAGCCCCAGGAGTCCCGCTCTCGGCTGTCAAAGACAGTGGACCATGTCCTTCGGGACAACGTGGCCATACCCCACTACCTACATTTCAGTGAACGACGGGGCGCCGACCACCTGGTCCGGTTCTGGTTGGAGGCGGAGAGATTCCGCTCCGTCAGCTGGTCTCGGGTCCGAGCGCACAGCCTGAACTCTGTCAAACAAAGCACGTTGGCTGAGCCTGTCCCGGCCTCCCCGGACAGCTCGGAGCGCCCAGGACTAAAAGAAACCACGTCTCACACCCTGTCCGGAGACAGCGGCAGTGAACGGCCCTCATTACAATCAGAGCAGCAGGACTCCTCCAGCAGAGAAGCAGACCTGAGACCTGGCACCCCAAGAGCAGAAACCCCAAAAAGACAGGCCCCCTCCAGGACGGGGACGCCCTACAAGGTGCAGGCGAACAGCACCCTGAAAGAACTCTCTGACAAACTCATGAAGAGTGAGTAAACATCCCTTTTCTCTTTTCTATTGTGTCTAACCTCATAGGCTCCTGCTGCTAAATCCATTTAAAGTTCAGAAATTGTTTTTTGGTTCCACTCATGGTCAGCACATTGCCTTATTCAATGGACTGGAAAATAATCATGAAAGGCCTTTTTCACGTTTAGGCTGTTAAACTTTTGAAAGTTTGAGAGCCTTGTGCCTTTTAGATGGTGGAAATAGACTTCTTCTTTTTTCAACAATAGTTTTTTTTTCACTCTACCCTTTCTGCTCCTCGATTTCTGTGCACCAAAAACATTTCTCACTAGTGACCTGAAACGATTTGGTCATAACAGCAACACAATGCCTCGCAGATCCCGCTGTAGCTCTGTTGTAGCTTCACACTGAATCAGAGTGCACTCTAACAGCTTTAAAGGATAGGTTTTCATTTGTATTGCATATCAGTTAGTTATCTAGGTTTAGATAATCTACATTGAAGAGGTCAAAATGCTCCAGCAACGCTTGTAGTAAGAAGATCAACTTTATTAACAATTTAGACCAACGCGTTTCGGCTGGTGGCCTTCATCAGGGTCTTAGATAATCTACATTCTCACATGTTAATAAAGAGGCCTTATGAGCTGCTGTGTTTCTGCTTCTCATAATGGTTGCAAAGGAGGAGTAGTGATGGACACTGTAAAAAATGAAGCGGATAAAATCCACTGTCCTCTTTCCTTTCTCTTTTAAAGTAACACAAGGCTTTAGGAATCTAAGACAGATCAAAAAGTTCATCTTGATGCTGCTGTGAGGGCCCTGACACATCAAGGAGATCGTCGGCAGTCCCTCCTAGTTGGACCGTAAGTGAGCGGTCGTCGCCCCCAGTTTTTGCGGTGTGGTCTGGCTCCGTCCCTACCCGTTAGCCTTTTTTGTTGAATCGTCGGCGGTGGTCGGTGAGACGAATCTCTCTGATTGGCTGTTCTGAGGTTTCATTCCTCTCCAGCTCTCGACACAGGTTCAGAAAAGCCCCTTGAGCCGACCGCTGTGGTATCCATGCTTTCACACATTAGTGCATTAGTGTCGCCTCCGCCTCTTCTTTTTTCACTAAAAGACCAAGGGCTGACAACACCAGCGCCATTTTCAACTTTTTATCAGACAATATTCCCGATTAGAAGTTCCTATAATGCGAATGGTGAGCGACAGCGATGTGAATATGGTCTTCTCAACAAAAAAAAATTGCCCCCAATTGGGGATCAATAAAGTTTATCTTATCTTCTCGTATCACAACAACGGATTACCGCTACCTGCTGGCATGGAGAGTTATTTCCTCTCACGCATACGCAAAATGTACGTGGTGGTTGGCCGTCAGCTGCAGTCTTTGCGGTGTGTTTCAGTGCAACTTTTTTGGCCAAGACAAAAGGCGACGTGAGGCGACGCCATAGTCGGCCTTCGTCGCCACTAGTTCTTTGCCGTCTGTGTGTCAGGGCTTTAAGTTTTTATCGACTTCGGTGCTCTCCTGCAGACAAAGTGGTACCTCTTCACAGATTTGAACCAAACCCTCATGTCCTGCTTTCAAATGTATCACTCATGAAAACTCTTTGCCGTGGAGAAGTTTCTGCAGCATGCTGTTTATCACTTTGTCTAACGCCTATCCAACAGCAGCAGTTACAGCCATTAATAAAAACAAACAAATAGTCCCTCCTTATGCTGATAATAATCTTTTCTTAAGTAGCTCCCAAAGAGGCATCAGAATACATTTACTTGTTTCATAACCAACTGAAAACTCCTCATACAGAAGGAGCTGTAAAACGTCTTATTAGCATGACATTTGCTCTTTTGCTTTCAGAGGGAGTTTTGTTTTCTGAGTTTCAGTGGAGGGATACTCACATGAAGTAGAAATGTGCGTTTAAAAGGATGATAACTTTAGAAGATAAACATTTTGAATTGTCTAGACACTCAAACATACACTTAGCAATATCTTCTGATGAATGCTAGAATACATTTAAGCTTGAGATCAGGATGTTTTGCGATGTTTTTCTTCTTCACACTAAAAAATTGAAGCTTTAGGAGCAGATGACTTTGCAACCATTCGATTACAATGTACATTCAGGAGAGGTACTTCTCTTTAAAGAACATATTCCTTATCATTTTACAGATTAAATGTGAGGATAATTTCCTTTTTGATAATAATAATACATTTTATTTAAAGGTGCCTTTCAAAGCACTCAAGGTCAACTTACAAAACAGAGAAAAAAAACAACAAAGTAACAATACAACGATAAAATGAACATTAAAAAGACACATTTACCGGATGTATGAAATCATGTGAAGAGGATTTGTGAGACAGGATGGGTAATGATCAGACAGAATTTGCCAGTTTAAAAAGATGTGATTTAAAATGGAGACAGAGTCAATATTACGGATGTCTGGTGGGAGGGAGTTCCAGAGGCGGGGGGGGCAGAGCGGCTGAAGGCTCTGGACCCCCCTGGTGGACAGGCGGGCGGCTGGTGCAGTGAGTTGAATAGAAGAAGACCTGAGCGTGTCTCGTAGCAGCACATGATGATCCGCTCTGTTTCTGTGATTTTCAGGTATAGAGACAGACGCTGTCACCATCTTCACCAGGTACATCTCTCCAGACGCTGTAAGGCCGATCCCCATCACAGAGCAGATCAGAAACGACATTGTTGGTACGATACAGACACTTTTTAAATGTTTTTTATTTTATTTACTTTAGTTTCAGTCACACAAGTTGATTGGTGACCTCGAGTGATGTTTCCTGTTTTTCTCTCTGCAGCTAAGATCTGTGGAGAAGACGGCATGGTGGACCCAAACTGCTTTGTTATAGCACAGTCGGTGGTCTGCGGCATCTTGGAACAACAGTGAGTGTCGGACTATTCATTCTTTAAAGGAGTCAGTCGTCACACATGGAAGCATCGCCATGCTCTGAATCTAAGATTAAAAGTGTAGCTTCGGTCCTTTGACATTTCATCACCTCAGCATCCTCAGCAGCAGCAGCAGCTGTGTTTACGTCCTGCTATTTCTTTGGTTTCAGGCACTTTACTGAATTCCTGCGGAGCCATCATTTCTGTAAATACCAGATTGAAGTGTTGACGAGTGGCTCTGTGTTCCTGGCTGACATCTTGTTCTGTGAGTCAGCTCTCTTCTATTTCTCTGAGGTGAGTGAGTTCAGCGACTCCCAAAAACAACTACAATATTTACACTCCTTTTTTTTCCTCCACTTTTTTACATTTATGTTATTAAAACAGTTTTATTCTCGACTCCTTGTTAAATACTTGTCCTCTCTTGCCACAGCCACAAAACAGACTCTTTGGTTCATTTGTTCTCAAGGGAAGTTCTGCTGCTTACATTGCATGCATTATACTAGGTACCGAGCAGGATATACATTGTTCCTTAGTGTTAGTATTTAGTATCAACTTTATGAACAAATTAGACCCACGTGTTTCATATGTTCCTTATATGTTGACACTTAGATGTTAAAACAGTTTCTTACATTATAAAGATCCAGCTATTTGTAGAGACCTATCTGAAATGTTCTAAAACATCTGCCTGGGAACCTTTGGGAAGTGAAAATAGAAATTGTGTATGAACCCTGACCCATCAATGCAACTCTAAAATGACAAGTGGCTCCATTCACACAGAGAGCAGGGGTTGTCAGAGTAAACATTTAACTGTAGATAATTATGTGTAAGGTTGTAGGCAGGACATACAGTAAATACTGATACACAGATATGACAAAAAAACATGTACAGCAGCTTTCAGTGAAACCCTCATGTTCTCTGTGTGTCCTCTCCTGCAGTACATGGAGAAGGAGGAGGCCATGAATGTTCTGCAGTTCTGGCTGGCTGCAGACAACTTCCAGAACCAGCTTGCGGCGAAAAAAGGCCAGTATGACGGTCAGGAGGCTCAAAATGATGCTATGATCCTCTATGACAAGTAAGTATTCACTTAGCGTCTCTGCTGTCTCCTTTTACTCCTAAACACCCAGTCACAATGGTAGAGTGGAAGTTGTATTTGATTGTTGGGAGTCACCATTGTGTTGTATCTTTAGCTATATTTGGTTAAAGAACTAGAAATGGTATGTTGGTATATTCTAGTTATGTTCTTACTGGTCTATAGTAATAGGACTTTAAGTGGCAGGTTGCTGAGGCTACACTGTTTCTTGTTGCATGTCCCAGGATACAGTTTCAGCTCTCTTCATGCATAATAAAACATTCATAAATGCTACCCTTTTTGCACATAGTCCTGCCTCTCGACCTATTTCCTCCTCTGCTTTTTAAAACACTCCCAATTTAAGATACAGTGTCTTTAATCAAAGAAAGAATTAAAAGAAAGAATGTGCAGAATTTTTCATCCGTTAGATGTCGCTCTTGAGAAGTAGCATGAAACCAAAACAAACTTCTGTTTGGCAACACTTCGGCTATTCTGAAGGCTCCGCTCTCCTCCAGCGACACACCTCTAACCCCTCTCCAATCACGCCCACACGAAGGAGTTATCAATTAGAACACACCATAATTAAGCACCATTAAGCGCAAGCAGCAGACAAAATTGTCCTTTGCTCGAGCTACAATTGCCTGCATTGTTGTGTGAGCAGGCTAATGTTCGCAACACTTTGGTTAATTAAGACTTTGTTATTCTTCTTTTCTCTAGTTCTTGACTAAAACAGCTTTATATGCACGGCCATCCCGTCCATGTAAACATGATGTAAACATGACTCAGACAACAGTACAGCTGCTAGACAGTCATGACTCCGAGGGTATACAGGATTTCTGATGTATTTATGTGTAAAATGTTGCACATTCTTCCTTTTAACTGTGTATTGTGTTATAGTTTCATCAACCTATATGGGTTTGATTAGAATCTTCATATAGGTGATTTCATCTGAGCTGAATTTTGTTTTCTATTTAATTTCCAGGTATTTTTCACTCCAGGCCACAAACCCTCTGGGCTTTGGCGACTCTGTACGGATGGAGATAGAGTCGAATATCTGCCGAGAGGGAGGGCCGCTCCCTGACTGTTTCACCACTCCACTTAGACAGGCCTGGACCACCATGGAGAAGGTCAGGCTTTCTCAAAAGGGTCCCTCTTTTTTTAAAAATGGCTCTTCTCTTTAATTCTCTTGGATTGGTCATAAGATTTAGTGTTAAAAGTCACAAAAATGATCCTAACACACCCTTGGCATAAGTGTTTTCTTTGATTTAATGAACACTGTTGGTCGTAAATAAAGGTCAGTGATGAACCTGTGTAACATGTGTCTCTGGGCTAATGATGGTCTAACATAGTTCACTGTTCTTTGCATCTGCTTCAGGTCTACATGCCCGGCTTCCTGTCTAGCAACCTTTACTACAAATACCTGAGTGACCTCATCAACTCTGTGCGGGCGGACGAGTTTGTGAATGTCAACACTCAGGGTCAGGGCGGGCAGGCGGACAATGACCGATCAAGTTCAAATGCCAGCGAGGTCTCTCAGACTCAGGTGAACCCACCTCCCCCCCCCCCTCCTCAAACTTTAACCCTCATGTTCTGCTCCTGTGGCTGTGCTCTCCTCTGCCTGCTGACATTTAGAGCCGCTCCATCTCACTGCACAGAGAATAAAGATACTTCTGATAATGCCAAAGGTTGTGATCAAGCCTGTGGTGTAGTTGTCTGTAAGGGAAAAACAAAAGAATCATTATCTGCAATGCTGCCAAAACGTTTTGCTCATGGTATGTTCTCTACAGCTAGGGGCCAAAAAGGCAGCGATCAAGATCCTGAAAAACTTCGACGAGGCAATCACAGTGGACGTCGCCAGCTTGGACCCCGAGTCCTTGTACCAGCGGCCGTACGCTGGGTGAGTCTTTTCTATTTCATGTTCCTATAATGCGTCAACAAACTGCTATGATCAGCGAATGTAGTCCCCCGAGATCATTCAGCAAAATAACAAAAAAAACCTGTCTCTGCTTCAGAAATAAAATGACAAACACAGGATGTGATTTCTATTTGACTTACGACTAAATTAGACTTTAAAGCAGCTTCATCTGTGTTTTAAATCAGCTCAGTTTTTACATGTATTCTGTGATCTTATTTATCCTCTTGTTCCCACGATGTTTGTTCTTTTATGCTCGTGTCCTTTTTTGATTTCTTTGATTTGCTGATGTTCATATGTAACACTTGGATCTCTTCTGTTTATATTGACTCCAGTATTTTAATGAGCAGGCTTTTAAAAAAAAATCATGTACAAAAATAACTCAATGTAACGCTGTTATTGAAAGACCGAGCTGTTGTCTGTCACATTTGTTTAATTCACACTTATTAATTGGATACAAAGGCATACACAGCGGTGTGATTTGATTGTTGCATGCGTGCCTGAAGCTCTGTTAGGTCCCACTGTCTCCGTCTGCTGTCTTTATCCTCTCCTCTTTCTGCTCAGAAGGATGACTTTCGGGAAGGTGAATGAGATGGGTCAGTTCATCAGGGAAGCGGAGCCGGAGCCAGACGTCAAGAAATCCAAAGGCACGATACACTCACACCTCTCTCTCTTTAACCTGTTTAGCTCTCTCTGTCTCTTTGTCTCCTTTTCAGACTCTGGCCTCTCTCAGTCATATTTGATCTCATTCCTCCTTTCTGCAGGGAAATCTTCTGTGTCCATAAATATAAAACCTCATCCAGTGGCTTCTCCCTTTCTCCTCGCAGCCTTTTGAAATATTAAATAATGTTACCCTCTTGAGGAAAAAAAACAGCCTCCACTACTCTTTAGATGAAACAATGAATAACATCTGTATTTATCACCTCAAGCAGGGCGTCCCTTTTGTTAGAATGAAGTATGAGCCAGTTTTGCTACAGAATAAGTAGTCTAACTGTCAGCTTTAAATCTGCTAACTGCCTCCTGATTAAGAATCATTCACATCTCAGTAGTGTCCAATAAGGCACTAAATGCTCACATTTTTCAGGATTAACTCACCCTGAGAAAGTCACATTAGTCGGCAGTTTATTTGCTCCCATAGTTCAATATTTGTGCTCACTGGTGCAGCCCCTTTGTCTCACTCAGCCCTCTCTCTCTTCTCCTCCCGTTTAGGTTCCATGTTTTCTCTCGCCATGAAGAAATGGGTCCAAGGAAACTCAGACGAGGTGAGGTCACTCTATGTTAAAAATATCCATAAATGATTCAGCGCTGCGAGACACACAGCTCGGCTCTCAGTGGCATGTGTTCACATGCACCCTGTGACATCAGCCCATGTTGTGTGAATTATTAAAGAGTCCATTTGAGGGCTGCGGTGAGTTGGGGTTAATGTTTGTGCTGTGACTCTCGTCATGAAGGCTCAGGAGGAGATGGCGTGGCAGATCGCAAAGATGATCGTCAACGACGTCGTCCAGCAGTCCAACCACGACAGCCCCGCCAAGTCCACCAAGGTACCAGAGCCTCACTGTCTTACCTGTGCTGCTGTGTGCAGGGAACCCAGACACATCATTTGAACATCACTTGCTCTGGTTTTTGTAGAAGTAAAGGCAGAGTTTGTTTGACAGCTGTGATCAATCTTGAAGATTTATGAATCAGATAATAACAACATGTGCGACTGAGTGAAGCCAGATACCACTAAGATACCTTGGATATGTTAAACTTGCTCTGTAGAACAGGCCTCAATTCTCCTTCAATTGTTTTCTTTTCTTTTTCTGCAGTTATGACCCCACTGAGGAACCAAAGGATCGTCACTCCATGCAGCCGCTGGCCGAGCCAGTGACAAACTGTTCACAGGGTTCACCCTACAATGAACTGCAGAATGAACAAGGCTTTTTATCACCATCCCAACCCCCGTGTGTGTGTGTGTGTGTGTGTGTGTAGTGTGTGTGAATGCGTGTGTATGTGAGACAGATGAATGATTGTTCACACATTGGATACTAGGAAAGATGAAGCAAACCATTCATCCATTCTTCCAATCCTCCAACTCCACAACACTATTAAGGTACAGGTGTTTTGAAAAAAATAAAGCATTGCTTAGCGCTTGAATCCGACCAGAAGAAGTCACTCCTGGTGAAGGAAGCACTCGACTTCATGTTACAGGAAGCAGCACGTCTGTCAGGACCGTCACCGCATCGCTCCAGCCATTCTGTCTGAACCATTTGATTCTTATGTCGGACCTATGGAGGGTGTGACAAGAGCCGAGTAACCCTGACTCTGTCATGGCACATCTCCCCACACCTTTTAAAACCATTCCTTGTTTTTAGATGAAGTCCTTTCTTTAAGGTCAGCCGCTTTAGGCCTCGCAGATGTACAGTTTTTGCAAACACTCTACTCAGCCTGCCTGGAGTAGTTCAGTCTTCTGCTCGCTAACGTGTGCGCTACTACCTTGAACGTTATATGTACTGTAGAAAGCTGGACGTGGGACAATGACACAGAAGAAGAGCTGATTCGGTTTGGGTCTGGCTGACCTCCTCCATGACCTCCGGGCACCTTAACAGTGCATAGAAGAAGAAATACTCCCTTAAAGAACTTAAGTGCTCCACTTGTGTTGCAAAACTCCAGAGTCCATGTCGTAAATGTTCTATATATACAGTATATATATGTAGATTTCTGGTTTACCCCATATATTAATGTTAGTCCTTTTTTATGGTGATCGCTGTTTTAAAAGAAGAAAATGCATCACTGAAACAAATGTCAGTGAGGAGCTGACTGTTCAACTGGAAAGAGAGCTCAGTGAAATAAATCTTTTTTTAATTTTGTTTTTGAGCCTTATCATGATGTGGAAATAAAACCAGAAAAGACTCTTGGTACTATGTACCACTAATGTTTTCTGACATGTATGTGTACTTAATCTATAATATATTTAAATTGTGTTTGATTTAAATACATATATTATAAAATCATTTTTTTTCTCTCTTCTTTTTTGTTTACATTTTACCTGCTTTTTTTTTCTTTACACTTCAGACTGAAAAAATGTCCAATTGAACAGGTGGGTCAACTTGTAAAAACTTTTAAACCTTTAATATATCAGCTCAAACGAGGGGAAAGTGACAAGCTTATAGTGGCAACATCATTTTTTACGGTGGAACATTTTCACCTCTGACCAGCAGGGGGCGATGTTGACTGACTACGTTAGGGTGAAAACTTCAAAATTGATGACAGACTGTTTCTTGGTGGCATCAGTAGTGTCTCCTTTTTTCCTGTGAATAGTTGCTATTTTGTCATTTGTGAAGGTCCAAATCCACAACGTGTAAATTACAGATCAAACCAAAGTCTTCAAGAGTCACCTCGAACACGATATTAAGCATTTAAAATGATGCGTTTTCTCTATTGGTGAAGTGTTAAAGGTTTGTCAGTACAGAAGACAATAAGTGTTATAATCACGCTCTAATGAGCTGTGCTGATGTGCAGTTTTGCTTTATAAAGTTTCTCCTGTGGTTGCCAGCGCGAGGCTACCTGCACGTGCGGAGGCAACGCCCACCTCAGTAAAGACTGACAGTCACTGTCCTGACCTCTGATTGGCTGACACACTTAATTGACGCACACCAACAAACAATTACTTCCAACAGTAATCTGGTTTACTAAAAAATGAATGATTTCACATGATGAATTTAGTACAAAGGCATGTCTCGCTGTCTTTGTGGATCCCCCCCCCGACCCCCCGCTTTCATCAAGGTACAAAAAATGATGCGAGACACCGGAAAAGTCTTTTTTTTAATTTAAAATTAAAACTACTCTTTTGTGAATTCTCCTACCGCAAACGTGAGCAGCCTTTTCTGTTCTGACAACACTTAGGCTGACTGTTTCATTGGCCAAATTAAATATCCTTTAAAAAAAAAGTTCCACTTATTAGACTTTGTGATGTTGACACACAAGGACCTGATAGAATTAGGCACTACAACAAATGTAACTACAGCCTAATCAAAAGACGGGAACAGATAAGGGTCATAACTTTTCATGTTGTATGTCCATCTCTCTGGTCGGGTATGAATGAGACACATGGCCTTACAGGGACATTTTAACATGAAGGTTATAGCCTAAATAATATTTTAAAGGCTTTGGGAAATTCCAATTTAGTTTTTACATGTCCATGCGTGTGTGGGACTCAACAAAAAAGATCTAATTCTAATTCAGAAATTGAGTTCTCAGTAGGGGAACAGCTCCAAAATAATATGCCTATAGGCTACTTAGTGATTTTAGACTAAGAAGAGCTCTTAGAGAACAACAGAAGACGCTTTATGACAAGTTAAGAGTGAATAAATATTCCTCAAATCGATAAAAAAAACAATCAATCAATAATTAAAAATCAAGTTTTAATTATTCAAATATATTTCTAGCCGCGCCTTCTTTGCTTTAATTTTGAAAATCCTATCCGGAAGGGGTTGCGTTAACCTTTGCGGGCTTGACGTGGTCCACTCACGCAAGTCTCTTTGAAACGCAAAGTGCGCCGCGGTCCATGTTGAGGCAGAGCAAGTGCCTGGAGAGGAGCGGAGGAGTGAGGCGGCTGTGGGACATGTTTGTGTGTTTGTTTGTGTTTGTGAGTCAAACTGCTCTCGCGCTGGCATGACCACTGCGCACACAGGTTTGGGTGTGACAAACATCTTGCACGTGCGCGCGTGGGGTCAAGACTGAGTGGAGGCGCGGATGACTTGACTTTATGATCGGCAATCCCAACACTCCTCCTTGCTGATGTGGTTTGGACGTTTTCTTTCTGATTTCTCTACGCAGACCAGATGTTTTGGACACATTCGCACTGCGGATGTCCAGTCTTTTTTTTTTTTTTTTTTTTGCGGATGTAGTGCTGATGAGGGTCTAAAGTTGAACTCTTCCTCCTGAAGGTGTGAGCTCCAAATGCATTCGCTCCTGGGCCGGGAGAAGAAAGAAGAAGAAGCCCGGTTTGGGATTGATCTGGGTCTGTCTCCGGGCTTTGCGCCCCACGCTTCCACCATGTTCAGCTGTGTGGGCTGCTTCTGGGTGCTCCTCTCCTCCGCGCTGGTCGCCGTCTGCAGCTTCAGCTTCATCTCCCCTGCCTGGATTGTTAAAGACCAGTTAAGGACCAGTCACCATCACCACCATCACAGCAGCAGCAGCAGCAACAAGGACTCCGTCAGCTTCGGACTTCTGTGGCACTGCTCGGAGACTATGGATCACATGTACCGCTGCTACACATTCGGGGGTCTGGGCAAATTCGCAGAGATCCCCTCCAGCTCTTGGCAGGTAGAGTTACACACACACACACACACACACACACACACACACCATGTCCACCACATGTGGGTGGATGTCTCTGGAGCATGTGGGGCATCAAGTGGGAAGGACAGGGCATTGTGGGAGCAAGGAAAGAGGTGGTAGGTTAGTAAGCTTCTAGATGAAAAAATAATAAATCTGAGCAAATCATCCAGCAGATTGAATTACTGCTCTTAATCAAGGAAATTACACCTGATTGGAGGAAATTGCTCCTGATTTGAGACATTTAATCAAGAAAGTTGATTATGCACCCAATTAGCCTACGATTAATGTATAATTTAGATTATAACATAAAATAGGAGTTCAGATGACTTGTGTGTTGTTACCTGTGCAGTAATTGCGCATCCCATCAGTTTCTATCCCATGTCTCAACAGAAGTTCATTTGATCTCTCTGATATTTTTGGAAATTCTGGTGGCAGATGATAAAAGACGTTGCTGTGGAAGATACTTTAAAAGTAAAGCTTCTCAGGATAGGACTTCCTTTATTCTGGAAGATGTTGAATTTTCAAACTTCGAAAGAGGAGAAGTTGTTTAAACTACTTAAAAGAACATTACATTGACAGTGTTCATTTTATTGATTTTCTTTGTGGCCAACAGATGTTTGTTGTTATAAACGTTGGAAAAAAGTGATTTTTTCTGCTTGACTCAGGATGTAATTGTAGCTGAAAGCATTGTGTAATGTGATTACACTGAAAGTTGAATTACATGTAAGTTGCTACTCCCCATCAGCACCCCCCCACACAGTGACACCTTTGATGAAACTTTACGTACATAGCCTCACACACCAAACTAAAGGTGTGACAGCAAACTGAATGATACACTGTTGCTCTGATGCTCCCCTCGGGTCCGTTTTCACCAAAACACATTTAAGATGATGTAGTGCATTTCAGCCAGAACAAATGATGCATTGATCTTTTTGGGTGTTGTCATACAGAGTGACATCTGTAGCACAGCAGGGCACATATCAGAGCTGTGAGAGTGGATCATTGATCAATGCTCCGCAACCGACAGTGGAAACCTTTAGGGATATGGAAAGTGAACTTTTGCAGCATCCTGCAAATTCTGATGCAAACACATACGCAATATAACAGAAAGTATCCTTAAACATGATATTTGTTGGCAGATGTCTTGGGCTTTGACTTTAGTCAAGGTTGTAAATGATGCTTGGATTGTTGCTTAGGCTGCAGGGCAACAGAGTTTGTAAACTTGTCTGAGCAAATACAATCAGCCTTGTTTGAGGATTTTAATCTGGGACGCTTTTAATTTGTGCATTTTTTTGCCATAATTTCATTCCCTACTACATGCAGGCTCCTTTGGACCCTTGAATCAACCACTGAAGATCTTAAAAATAAAAAATCTGCTACAGTATACAAGCCACCTCTGGAGTTATGATTAATGTATGAAGCTGAATTAGCATTTGAAAGGGAGATATTAATAAGTGGCTGCTTGTGTTGTGTGATTGTAGCGGAAGCATCTGCAAGAAGGCTTTCTTTTTATTCAGGGAAGCACAGGTCTCGACTCTGCAGGGGCTGATAGGAGCACAGAAAAGATTTCTGTATGTTTACATCCCCTCATTTATATTCAGACATGAACCACGGCATGCTCTGCACTGAGCTAAAGTGTGTTTAAGGCTAATTCAGCTGAAATCAGTCCTCATTTAGTTAGCCGGCTGTCGGTGAGTCAATTATGAGCTTCTCTCCGAGTCAGTTAGGGAGAGTGAGGCTGATGGAGCTGACGGAGCTGCTTTAACACACACACACACACACACAACACACACACACACACACACACACACACACACACACACACACACACACACACGCTATTACTGCAGTGAACCTCTGCACACCGGCCTGCTCACACAGCCATTAATAAAGGTGAAGGGGCCATTAAGTTTTCATCAGAGCCACTTTATTTCTCCACCACTCCTTACTCATGTACACGTCGTTCTGCTGAGACCTTCCATTATAAACCTGTCAACAACCTGCACACAGAAACACAAACCTGTACAGTAGTCATACTTACACATTACCGCTCCTGATGGTCCAGCCCAAGAATAAAGTTCACCAGAAAAAAACACATTTAAATGAAATGGTTACTATTTTTTAACAGTACATAGACCAGTATGAATGTGCTATGACAGATATAATTTTTTTTTTGGTACGGTTTGGCTAGTATACACTGAAAGAATTTGAATTGTGGCAACCCCTGGTGTTGAAAAATGAAGCAAATGCGAAAGTGCAAAATCCTGCATTTCGTCAAGTGTCCGCTTAAGGCTGGCGGCAGAAGCACCTGATATGAAATTGGTCTGGTTAGCTCGTGTCTCAATCGGCAACACACTGTATGGGGGTGAATTATTTGGTAACTGATCCATTTTGATGTGATGAAGGATAAATCTGACACTTAAACCCAAATTGCTCCCTGATTTGTCGGCGGTGTACAAATGTGTGCGAATAGGATTAGTTACTTCTGATGGATAATTTACATAGCATCCACTGCCATCAGTGTTTGAATGTTGCCATGTGGTGTAAAAGCGCTTTAAAAACTCAAATCCATTCACCATTTATTCACAATAAGGCACAGAGGTGACCTGATTGACACGGTGTAATGGTTTGTCAAGAGGTTTAAAACCTAACTCAGCTCCAGCTCCTATACCTGTAATAAGGCTGACTTGAAAGTTAGTCTGAGCCAGCATTTCAAGCATGGCGACCACCGCCGATTGGACTCCAAAGCCCCTGGGTTTGTGTTAGAAGAAGAAGAGTACTATTAGTCTTCATCAGAGGAGAACAGTGTTCTCTTGGCTCACTCTGAAAAGACAAGCTGAGCCTTGCGGACACTGTAAGGGAACCTGAGGAAGGGAAGGAAGCGAAGGAAGGAGGCTCCCTGAGAGGATGGCCTACTTGTGCTGTACTTTCTGTTGTCTTTTTTTCTTTTGTCACGTCGTGTTGTGAAAAATGCTTTAGCTCTGCCGGTTCTGACACCAGAGATGTGGTGCTGTCGCCAGCTTGGCAGGGGGCTGCTGCCTACAATGCATTTACCCACCCTCAACTCAACTCTACTCATCTTTTTGGCATTTATCTGCATACAGGAATGCAGCTTATCACGTCAAGTTCCTCACAGAACAGGTGCTAAAGAGCAGTGCACAGAAAAAACACACACAATGAAAAAAACGCTTTAAGATGCTGAATGACTGTAGCAGAGAAACATGGGGGTTACGCTGCGTTCATGCAAAATGTAAATGTTGACGATTCCCATCTGTGTATGTGAGCACCCTGTTCTGTTCGAAAGAAATCATCCAGTCTGAATCAAACAACCAATCAGGGATAGCGTGCACGTAACTAGACAATCACAGTGACTCTGTACAAACTAGCATCCTCCAGCTTCTATGTGACCGGTGTCAGCAACTCGCTCTCTTGCTCTCGCTCCTGACACCGCTTGCATCTTTTTCAACTTTTTTCCAGATGTCTATTGTTATTGATGAAGTGTATACTTAAAGCTAATTAATCATTTTACCATTTAATCCTTTTAATCCTTTTTTTTTATTTTGAAATATCAAACCCACCACTAAGGCATTCATCAGATTGCCTCTTAACCTGTGTCAGATCAGAACAACTAAAAAAGCAATCTTTATTACATTAGTGTCGTTTGAAGCTTTTAAAAAAATCACATTCTTCAAAAACGGATTCATCTTTACAATGGCAATAACCACGAATAACTTTAAATCATTTTCTGAAAGGTTTTTCGAGTTGAAAATGGTCTTCGCAGTCATTCTTTATTCACGCGTTTGTTTTTTTGAGTTGATCAGTGCAGCTCAGCACACCTAGCTTATTGTAACAGGAACTTTTGCCCAGTGGTTTTCCACATAAATTATTCCTTCTATTACTTCTGCTTGTTCCTGTCGGGTCGTGTGATGCTCCAGCAGAGCAGATTTAGATCAGTGCTGGTGAGTGAGCATGCATGTGTACACTGCCACATTTGCACACTTCTGTGTGTGCAGCAGTCAGTGAGAGAGTGAAAGCGTTCTTGTGTGCATGCATGCTGCGCTGACCAGGTAGAACATGTCAATAGAGGAGGTGTGTATCAGCTGCTGCTGGCTTAAGTGCGCAGGAGGAGGAGGGTGCCTGCTAGAAAACACTTTTTACCTAAACTTGTTAACAGCCTTTGTGCTTCCAGCTGCTTCACAGCACTAAACACTGGAGCAGGATTAGCTTGGCCTGTGTAGTAATCGTCTAAGTGCTAAGACAGAGTGTGTGTGTGTGTGTGTACAAGAGGTGGTGTGTCTGGGTGCTGTTATGTTTTTTTGGCATATAAATTTGGCTTTGCATACATGCCTGATGTATGTCGAGGTCTCCTCGTAACCTCAATGAGTCGTGGCCGAGCTCCAGGAGCTCTGATTGGAAAACGTCTGCGTTCGTCCCGCGTCTTTTCTCCTCGTGTGCAGAAAATGGCAGCATGTCAAGAAGAGATTGTGGGGGGGGAAAAAAGGATGTGATTGGCTTCCGTCAGCCCGTGTTGTCTTTCCCACGTGCCGACAAGATGAATTATAGACGTTACTGGAGATGTTTCACCATGCCTAATTGCCAGCAGCCTATGAAGAACACTTACTGGTGCATAAACCCTGCTGGATGTTCCAAATGTCATTTCACCACTCACTGAGCCAGAACTAGTTTTAAGTACAGAGATAACTCATTTAATGAAAGTCACTTCTGATTCTTTGTCTGGCTTCTGCTCAGCCTTTGTCTCTGTCCTCCTTCGGTAGAAAGCGTCCCGCTGTGAGCAAATGTTGACAGGAAGAAAGCGTGTTACTTCTATGTTTATTATGTTTTAATGTGATCTTACATTAAAATCTGTTCAAGATCATTTCATATGAAACAATCTTCAACACATTTAATGTCTGAATGGGATTAATGTTTTCTAAGTAACACCTGTCATTACAGGGATATAACAAATACTGTACATTAAAACTTGG